AAGTGCTCAGAGTTGAGCTTCAAAGTTTCAGTAGCAGCTGCATTGTCTTCGTTGAGCGGAGTGTGTGATCTCATGAGCAACCTTCCTGCCTAACCTGTGTTTTAGCGAGGCTTGGTGCAAGTTGGCCGGGAATCGAACCCTAGGGCGGATTTTTAACGCATGGAAAATATTCGGCTTAGATATTCTTCTCAACGCTTTGAACACAGCATACGCATGGAAATAAAGTTCAATCCAGAATGATGACCAAGCCTTCTTCTCCATTTATGGATACACTAATTACTAGATGCCAAGTAAGCTCGCTGGTGATTGCGTCTTAGTGTAAGAAAACTCCCTTCATGAATATAAATAACGAAGGTGATATTAAAGCGAATGTTCCCGAAATCCGTCTTTATATTTAACTGGAGGAGGCATTTCAGGCAGCTGTCTTGTGAATCCCACCCTCCAGCAATCAGTCAGTACAGTCACGGATTAAGTAGAAGACACCACTTTTGAAAAGAGCCGTGTTTATTCTTCAGTTTCCTGGTTCCTTTGGAGAAAACTAAACGGGTTATGCATATCTTGAGTGCGTAAACTCTAGAACACTACCCAGAGGAGAAAACAGAAATACTAACAGTTCTCTACTTCAGCTTCTTGTCAACTGTCGAAACGAGTGCTTCACAGTGATTCGCAACGAATTCATCAGTATCTCACGAAAGGACTTCGAAGATGCTACTTTTATAAATATCCAAATCACTGTCATTTGAGTCTTGAAGCTGGAACTCTACTTTCATGCATTTGTCGTCAAACAGAATGATTTAGATTGTGTAATCTTCTATGGTATTTTTGATTGCACACTAGTCAGTAACTAGTGTAATGTTTCTAGTCCTATCTTCGGTGCAGACTGAATTCTATCAGTCATGTTTGCAATGTGGCCACCATGCTAGGTGGATCGCCATTACGGTCCACTGTGAATTGTTGGTATTAGATGGTTGGTGGCCACATTGCAAACATGACTGATAGAATTCAGTCTGCACCGAAGACAGGACTAGACACATTACACTAGTTACTGACTAGTGTGCAATCAAAAATATCCAATACAGTCCTACAGGAGGTCAGTCGCGAGCCTGAATAGCTCAGTGGTAACTTCTCTGACTGCATAACTGAGTGACGCGGGTTCGAATCTCTGAAGGGACATCAGTTCCTTCAAGGTTGCAGATACGCCTTGCTGATGAGTGCCAACTAGCACGAAACCTAGGTCCAAGGCTTCCTGCCGATTGCCTCCAACCATCTAATACCAACTTCTATGGTATGGATAACTCGATCACCCTACAGACGAAGGTGCATTGGAGAAAGAAGACAACAGCGGCAAAGAAGCACGATAGTAGGCAGTACGAGATGTGGTCAAGTGATTCAGAGATTCAAATTTCAGTCAATGAGATTCGGTTGCGAATGTTGTTTCTCTGCATTTAAATAATAGGTGAGGCTCATAACCTGTAGAATTAAAGTTTGTTTCTGGCGACTGGATTCAAGGCAATATTGGACACAGCAGATGACTTTATTGTCACTACTCAACGTTGCACTGGTCAAGCGGCTACCTGAAAAAGGGTCAGACAGATGTTATCAACACGGATTCTAACAACAATTTCTCCTGTAATCTTACAAGTAAGGAAGACTGAATATGAGGAAAGACGACTAAGCAGAAACACTGTGACCGATATTGATACAAAACGACCACAAAACAAAGAGGAATGAGGCGTAGGAAGAAAGAAACTGTAGTAAAGAGAATGCACTCTACACACGGATACGGTTACCTGCCTTCTTATCTATTCCTCATAATATTTTCAATTTGTGCTTGCCTTTATGCTGCCTGATTATTAGTAAGTAGTATGAGATTTTGTTTTGCTTACCATTTCGTTACACTGTAGCAATAGTTATTGATTTCCATTGGAATCCATCTAATTCAATGTATCAACATTCTATATGGTTTGTCGTAATTGTCTCCTCATGGTTAAACAGCATCTGCTGTACATTTCTTTTTTATGCTCTTCCAATGTTCATTCGAATCTATTTATTCTTCTTGATCTAAATATTCGCGCATTGTTTGTCTGTGATTGACTGTTAGTTGTTGTTTTTGATACACAAGGCTCTGCTCTCATTTCACTTAATAACGCAGAGTGACAGTGAATTTGACGGCTGGAACATCTCATAATTTGAGTACTGTGATTTTGATTAACCCAGTATCTTTTGGATTTCACGCGTCACTCACACATTTGGTTTAATTAATCAGTTGCAGTTATAAGGTCGGCTTTCTTAGACTAAGTCTACAAATACGAAAGCACATCCCTGCAGGCTTATAAACGGTGGAGAGGAAGAATGTGGCGCAGAACACTTGATTAACTCCGGTCACTCACACAACCAACCTAGACTAACACTGATGTTAAGATTGTCATTTATCGGATTCACAATGACTTGACGCCTCTTTCTACATTCCAGACGTCTAAAGACAGCATAAGTCTTGGCTATTCATGAATTTAAGCCAGACCATCGTGTACAGAAGAAGTATGTATGGTGTCGTTTTCTTCCTTGACTGTGAAATAAGAAGGACGGATGAAAATATTTATTAACACTGTCGTTCTGTTCATTAAATCTGTGTACCTTTTCTCTTATTTCTGTTATTATTGCTATTATTATTATTATTATTATTCCCATGGGTTCACATTGGAACTCAGGGCTTCCGATGTACATCCCCATTTCACCCTGTTCTCTGCAACCTCTTACCTGGCTCCACGATCTCTCACCCAGAATTTCAACACATTTATAAGGCAGGTTTTTGAAGTGCACTCTGACAGTCATTGAAACTATTGGTATCATAGTGTTTTAATCTATTTTTACGTTCAAAAACTAACTCTAAATTAAATAGAAACCACCCGAGTGTTTAATTAACTCGTATGATCAATGTTGGTAGATTATCTTTCTCTTTTTATCTATTTATCTCCTCTGTGACCTAGATCACTGAATTACCTTCTCGATCGCCACTGATTTCAGTTTCCCCCCTTTATCTCGTGTTAGCTACCGCATAAATAAACGTGTGTGACAACTAGGTATACTTGTATGATGGGGAATTAATGTCAGTTAGAGAACCACTGAATACCAGCAGGGAGTACTGGATAGCTATCTCATCCTTGTTTGAGATTCATCTTTCACTGTGGATCGAAGCAGCATGTAGCTTCATGGTGAACAAAGAGCTCTTTGAAGACTCAGGCACTGCAGTGTCATTGACGAGTATCTGTCCTCATACCTGATTTCATGGACACAACTGGTCATGATTTCTCACTAGACCTGGCAAATGCATCCCATAGTTAGTGACTGGTGAGCATTGGATTGGACTTCATACCAGTAACTGAATGGTCTATGACCTCAACTTGAAGCCTGCCTGTAGTACGTGCATATTGTTGAAGAACTTCAAGCTAGGAGGACGAATCAGCCGTCCAGTAGTTCTCATGTGCTGTGTTTTTGTGGTTGTCTAACTGAACTCACTTCGTGGTCAAACTTGAAATCACTGAAATGTTCCTGCCAACCAGCAGTTGTAAATAGTTTATGTGATCAGAATCTCACCTGACTGTATTACAAATATCGAACAGACTATTTCTGCCTCACTGTCGATAGTCTGAGGCACAGTTATCTATGACCCCTACGTAAGTCCCCTACTGAACACCTTGAAAAGAGCGACTTCATTTGCTGTATTTTTCTTCAGCCTTCTGCACTGCTGTTTTATAATTCTATGTTGTCACTAATTAAATACCAGTCCTAGTAATACAATTCACGTTAATTTTGTCTCCTATTATCTAATTTACTAGTTTGTTAGTTTATTATTATTACTATTATTATTATTATTATACATTACTTGCGTTCTAAGTGGAATATACGACCTCAGCAGCACATTTGCATTGTATTCGGTTCTCAGAAGTAATTTTATGGTGACTCCGTGTCTGTCCATTTGCTTTCCTTTCCTCCTCTCCACTTGTCCTACTGTGTGTCAACCTCAAACGACGCTCAAATTGTGCCTTTCCATTGCCGTTCTATTCAAAGAATTGATTGGCGTGTGGTGTTGCTCTAGTGTTTTCTCAGCGTATTGTTTCCAATCTATACATCTGCATGTACTTCTGCACTTTCGTTGGTTGAATCACTGCCAGAGTTCTGTGTTGCTTGCTTATCCCTTCCGGTTGAATATCTGAACTTCACGACTGAACAGATGTAGCTGTTCATGAAACACTGAAGAAGCCTTTAGTAAATGCTATTCAACACTCCCGTCTCAAGTCTGTGAAACATTTGGATTCACTGACTTGACATCAGGATTGAAAAATCCGCATCTTTTTCCTCCTGCTGAGTCAGTGAAATCAGATCAATGAATCAGTGTCTCACCTTTCCAATCCAGGCTGGCTATGGCATCGTCATCTGCCCAGCCTGCAGTTGAAACACTGCTAGCTGTCCACGTAAGTGGAAGAGAGCGAGGGCATCAAACTTCTTCGAAATTTCTTTTATAGGGTGGAGTTACTAGCCCAAGGTTGACAGAATCTTCCCGTTTTTCGAAGTTTATTTGATTCTTGTAACCTATGCAAGATTTAAGAGGGCGTTGGTGATCAGCGACCCAAGCCACGCACTTCTTTGCTTGTGAATACAGTCAGTGATAAACAGACCTATTGTGTAGTGCCAGTAAATACTGCCAGACTTCTGGAACCATGGTAGGTGGGATGGTGTTCAAATATGTGACTCACTGCAGATTGACTGCTGGCCTTCTAAACCGGTTGGACACAGATGACTCCAAGACTTCCTCAGGCTCTGATTTCCCACTCTTCATATGGTCTATCTCATGTCCAGCCTATTGCTTCCCGTTCAGGTATGGCTTGGGTGTCTCAATTTGCTTAATTTCAAAATCCAAAGTTTTACTATATTGAATAAATTTAATGTTTTATTGAAAATTCATTATTACTTTTACAAATTATAATCATAATCGTTTTAATCACAGTTTCCGTCCGAGTTGTAGCATTAATTTTTCGTGTTTTTCACTGAGTACCAATAAGTAATCGCATCAGTATACTATTTTGCTCTGTTTCAAAAGAAGAAAGAGACATAATGGTGTACAAATCTGATGCATTTAGCGTATAATATATCCTCAGATGCCAGTTGGTTTATACTGTGGGTCAACGATGAATTCCAGACTGGACGAAAATCACATTGTGGATTTTACTGCTAGTCACCACCAGCTGAGATGTCATCAATTCAATCTTCAAATGTTGCCGAAGCATCTATACTAGGAGGAGACTTGTCAGTAGAAAATCACATCGATCCGGCTCAGTATAAATTATTTTCTTTGAATAATGCATTTGAATAATGAATTTTCAGAAGCTTCAAAATCTCTATTAGGTCATGCGGAAGAAGAGTCATTCGTCGAAGAGTTGCTCTTCACAGCGACATCTTTCTCAAGCTGTACCACCTCTCATATTTGTACAAACAGTGAATTTTCATAGCAACCGAAAGAATGTTCCCAGAGATGTGTGTTATTCAAATTGAAAGTTTTTGGATGACAATTACGTTATGTTATACAGAAGGCATGAATAAGGAAGGAGCTGGGCATGTCGGTCATACTCAGTATTCCCTATTCGAAAATACCATGGAATATTTATTCTCATCATTTTACGGAGTGGAGGGAATATCCACTGGTAACTGTTTTCAGGAACTCTCGACCGAGATGACTCGCAAACCAACTTCGGAGTCATCTGCAGAATGAGTGGAAATCTTTTCGTAGGTGTGTGAACCAAAACTTCTACAAACTGCAGAAACTATAGAAATCCACAAATTAATTCGTGATCTGTGCACGTAGTCGAAGTTTGTTCAGGCGCTGAACCTACAAAAGATCTAAATTGTTTCAGAACTTGAAACGTGATTCTTTTTGCTCTACCTTCACATTATCACACTTTTACTCCTCATGACATTGATCTTGAATTGACCCTCTTCAGATTTCATTTGAAGCCCTTTACTCAGTCGCGTCAGCTGTGTCACGTCGCTCGTTTAACTGATATAATTTTAACTTAGTTTCCAACCAATTAACGCTTTTTGTATTGCGTAATTGTCATTCACTAAAACTTACAGTTTTCATGACAAATCTTTGGGAATATTTGTTGTGTTGCTATGAAAGTGAAATTCATATTTGTGCGATTGTGCTGAGTGAGAATGGTATCCCCGAAAAGAGTAAGTCTTCTCTGAACACCCTTCTTGTAAATAATGTTTCACTTAATCTCGATCTATGAAGAATTCAATATTATTGGTATTTCAGCTAGACCCAGTTTAAATTTCTATAGGACACCGCAAATAAATAGTCATTCGCATAAAAAAAAAAAAAAAAAAAAAAAAAAAAAAAATATAAACCCTTGAAATACTGAGTACGAAGGAATGTAAGTTTCACGCGTCTTCGAGTAGTTTGAACGAAACATACTCTCAGAGATCAGTCGAACTGGAAAAACCACTAATGAACTCAACTGCAGACGAGTGGAACGCCATTCCAGTGTTCAGAAGGTGGAAATGGTCATTGATGCTCCACTGTTGACTTTCAGTAGGTCTCTTACTGGAGTCAATTCGTAATCAAAGTTCAAACGAATCATCTCCCTCAAACTAACACTTGGAAATAACACTAATGTTACGAATTTCCTGGAATAATTTGAGCGCCGAGTCAGACTGAATCTTTATAAATTATTTAAGATAATCCCAGTGTTCAGAAAAATCTTGTTCTGTTTTTCTCTTCAACACACTGCGATTATTTGAAATAATTTGCAACACTTGAAAATATTGAAAATATATCTGTGCATAGATTTTAATCTTACCAGTAGATACTGTGACATTTCTTGGAACAATTCGATAATTACTGAAATTAGGAAATAAAAATAAGTTAAAAAAGATAATTTTTCCATAGAATCTTGATTTGAGAAGCGGCATCGATAACCAGTCTGAAGAAAATGGACCAGTCAGAATCAAGCTGAGACAACGTTTCTCATAGTTGCATAGATGGACTACAAGTTAATTTTAGTTATGTAAAATTAGGTCTGCTATCATCGATGATGCTCCTGATTGCGATGAACTAGATCATGCAATAAACTATGGGGTGACAAGAAGATCTCGACTTGACTAGTGATTTAGGTCTAATACCATACAGACTCGAAGATCAACAAGTGAAAGTGAACAAGCTGAGTTAAGAAGCAGCGAAGACATGACTTTGAGTGCATTTTAACAAGACCAATCAACAATAACGGAAACCAATCATCACTAACGGGGGAAATCCCTAGAAAGTCAACTCTCTCACGTGACTGAACTAGGCCGCATTGTTTCAACCATGGGAGATAGCACAGATAAGAATGCCAAAGCCAGTCAGGATTGGATTGGGAAGGCAAGACAGACTTACATTACTGTGAAATCGGTATGGAGAATAACATCAATTTAGTCATTTCCTGTACGTCACTCAGAGACTTGGCGCCTGCGTCACGAAAGGCATTTTTAACAATTTTTAGCAGGCTACAGCTCGGTTGCCTTCGGTTGACAATGAAAATCAAGTGGCAGAAAACCGGCCAACACACTACTGCACATAAATAATGTGGGAGAAAATCGGAATGGATTCGATACACGCATTTAGGAGTGACAGCACGAGGCAGTTAGATTATCGTTCGAGTTGTAGCGGCGAATGGGAAGAGGCGGACTAGTGTCGTTTCAAGGGCAACATGGAGGAGATAGTGCGATGAGGAGGAATTAGAGGCTTAAAGGCGACCGTGGACCAAACTTAGACGGAGCACAGAAGACTGAGTGAAGTGAAGGTGTGCCCTGAGCGAAGCCTTGCGTTCCAGTCGGAACCCAGACGATGAATAATGAGAAAATGTTTCTGCCATCATTGCTGTGTATGTATGTATACATTTTGGAGTGAGTTTTCAATAAAGTAGGAGAACTAGATGTAATCTAGTGATGTCTCCATCTAGTTCGCTCCCCTGTAGTCCTCTCCGGCTGTCTCCATAACTGACCATAAGCTTACAATTCCCCCACCTTGCATGATCTCCTCTATGTCAATCTGGGAGCAACACCCACCTCAACATTTCCACTCGAATGCCTTGGGCGTGGTGTTACTGAACAGTCTTATCAGCGCGTGTCCGATCCACTTCTGTTTCCCTTCTTGTGTTTGTTGGTAAGGCGATAGGCTACGGTTGATTCGTTGTCAAAGTTCCTCATTCACAATCTCTTCTGGTCACCTGATAGTCAGCAGTGATGAACGTCTTCAGCCATCTGTTGGAAGTGATTTTGGTGATGCGCCTGAATCACATAGAAGAAGTGAATTTATACTGGTGTTGAAAATCTGAATCATTGCTTGTGATGCTTAGTGCAGTCGACTTCCAAACTGATTTTAGAGTAATGCAATCACGGATAACTTCGACATCCTCATGTGTGTCACCACCTCTAGTACAGATAGTGCACAGTGTGAATGTTCAATTCTTGTATATCGATGATTGATACTTATTGTTAATTTTGTTGGTCGGTTGGATATTTTCATCACATCAATCTGCTGTATGTTTACTTGAACTCCAATCTCTGCTGACTGTGTCTTCTGCCAACTTTTCGTTTTCTCCTTTACATGTTCGAGTTTGCTTGACATTGAAGGTAAATCATCTGAGAAGCGCACAACCTCCAGTGTCTTCTCTTCGGTCCACAGCTGGCCGATTTTCTCGCCCCCTGCGCGCCGTTAGGTGACCTGGTCCACCACAATCAGGGAATACCGATGTATGAATTGTCATCAATAAGTAATTGAAGACGCAGGACTAAACCCTAATTGTGGAGAGGAGAAGGACGTCAGTTGAATTATTATTATTATTGTTCCCTTGAGTTCCTAGTGGAAAATAGGGCTTCAACTGCACGCCTCCACTTGCTTCTGTCTCCTGCTGTACTTTCACTTACATCCATGTTAGTCCATACTATTTCAACTCCTCTTCACACGATCTCCTCCATGTCACCCTTGGACGTCCCACTCGCAGCTTTCTTTTCGAATGCTACTCGAGGGCCTGACGCGCGATGTCACCCAGCGACCTCCTAAGCGAGTGTCCAATCCATCTCCACTTTCTCCTGCATATTTGTTGAGCGATTGGTTATTGTTTTGTTTGTTCCCATAGTTTCTTGTTGGTGATTCTTTCCGGCCATCTGATCTTGAGTATAGAATTAAGACAGCTGTTGATAAAGGTCTGCAACCTGTTGGAAATATTCTTTGTGACCCACCAAGGTTCTAATCCGTATAGAAGTGACTTGACGTTTGTATTGGAAATCCGAATTTTGTTGTTGATGTTGAGTGACATCAGTAGAGTTAACCAACGATTTTTCATTTTCAATCCTTTGTCTTCCAAGAGGAACATAGGCCGTCAAGCTACAAGGTTCAAAGTCTCAGCTGTGGCGGTGAGGTTATTGTGCTCACACCTACTCTTCCACTTCTCGGGGTTTCCTGCTGGCTAGTTACCAATTGTAGGTTTGAGAGTTCGTCAACCGGGAATCAGACCCGGATCTCCCATGTGGGTGGCGGTTGGTGAGCAGTCTACTGCTGAACCACTGATTCATATGCTAATGCTTCAAGTAACTTTTATTTTACTGTAACCCTTTTGAAAACTTGGCTCTTTAGTTAACAAGCAAGTTTTGGAAACTGTTTAACACTCACTGGTAGCTGCTCCATGTATTGCCACTTCTTTAGAGGCTTCAAACAATAGATCATTTGATCTCTGAATATCTAAAAAGATGTGGATTAAATAAAAGAGCAAGTGAAGGATAAAGCAGCGTTGCTGAATGTAAATTCTGAGTTTTAATTCATTTTGCAGTCGATGTTGTCATTTAGTGGTGGAGACCATAGGCAAATATTATTTGAGATTAGTTGTCATCTGAATAGTCGGACACAAAGTTTGATGGTGGTTGGCTAAAAACTAACCGAAACAGACTCAGATTTGTTTCATTCCAGTCTGGAGAAATTCAGTCATTAGGCTAACGGGCACAATGTATTTATTATAATGCTGTTGATCAACCTCGAATATTATGACCTCATCCAATCAATTTAATTGGTTGTATAATCGCTTAATTTTCCGAGGTTGGTAATATTTGTATAAAATATATTCGATGAATGAGGAATTGAATCATTTTCACCATTTCGGCAGAGTCTGTTGCCATCTTTATTTTTGGGGGATAAGAATGGAGCCGACTACTTCAGCAAATAGTGCAGTGTCCAGTCTTCAGTCGAGTCGCCTATTGCTTTCCAAAGTCGAACCCACAAATTGACAGTATTATTATACCAGTGATCATAACGAAGCAGGAAAATACCGGAGAGTAAACTTCCAGTATTTACATTCAAGTGTGATAGAATTCATTCTGTACTAAACAAAGGACTGGACTTGTGATGCCAGTTACTGACCAGTGTTAAGTCAAAGCATCCAATACCGTTGCACAGGAGGTCAGTGGCGAGCTCGAATAGCTCAGTGGTTATGTCTGTGACTGCAACTCTGGGCAGAATGGGTTCCAATCTCAGAAGACGCATTGGTTCTTCCTATATTGGAGATGTGATATGCTGATGAACAACACCAAGAACGAAACCTTGAACAGGTATAGCTTCCTGCCTTACTGATTGCCTCAAACCATCTAATAAAACCAGCTCAGAGTGCACCATGATGGCGAGCCACCTAGTATAGTGGCCACATTGCAAACTAAAGTGACAGAGGTCAGTCTGTGCCAAACATGAGACTAAGCGCATGATACTGGTTACTAAGTAGTGTACAAACAAAGTATTCAAGTCTGAGTTACCTAAGTATCAATCACAACCGTAAGTCTCACACAGCAATTAATTAATACAGCAATCATCACTCAGGCAGAAACTGAATTAATCTAAATAAGAATTTTGAGTGACGTGATCTAATTAAACTAAAGTCGAAAGAGAGTCAAGTTTTAATTAGACAACTGCTCCTGTAGAACGAAGTATACCGACTGTAATTGGAGGTTTCTATACAAAGTGTCATCGAATACTTATCCTCGTGGTTTCTCGAAAGATGCAAATGGATTGACTTGCAGTTCTATCCTGGAACATCCGATCGTGCAAACTCGCAAACCAATTTCATGGTTATCTGCAAAGTATGCGAAAGTCTTGTCAAAGGATCACGAGTCGAACTCCTTCAAACCGCACAAGCTATGGCAATCCGTATGCTGAATCCTGAACTGCACATACAGGACGAGTAGTTTATTCAGTCAGCGGACATATAATAGAAAAATAATGTTTCTGAACATCTGATGCGTAGTTTTTGTTGATCCTAGTTATTTGTCATGAGACGTGAGCCATGAGCGCGCTTTGCCGTAGAATCAATCCCAAAGAAGCAGAACAGGAGAGCTATCCAGCAATGTTGTCATTCATTCCTATGAAAACTGAGGCGTTATTAGCTGTGTTGATGGCAGTGAAATGATTCCGATCCGGTTGGATCTCACAGCTTAGCGTGTGGCGTAGTGGACTAGTAATGCAGAAGTGACTGTATAGAATTCTACAGTGAGCCAGATTTCCATTTCACAGTCCTCACTCATCACCCACTGACTGTCAAAAAGGAAAAAGGTAGATCAAAATACCTTTGAAACCCTGTCTAAAGTGTAGATAAACCAGTGGAGATGAGATCGGAACTGTGCATGTGGAGGCAGTGACACAGACAACGTGATAGTTTAATTGATTCACTGAGGCGAACAAAGAACCTGTTTACGGACTGAAAATTAGGTAATTATACGACAGGTCAGTAGAAGTATACTACTGTGAGTGGAGTGTGTAGTATTGACTCAGTTTGAAGGATTCATCAAGAGCTATCAGAGTGATTCAGATAACCATGGAAACACACACGTATTAACAGAAAATAAAATCAACCTCTCTCCTCTCTCTCTTTCTACAAACCTTGCTCATATTCAATCGGTAGAGAATGTGTGCATTGACTGCTTCGATAAGTGGTCAGGAAATCTATTCAGAGAGTAAAATAATAGAAAATGTTGAAAAAACACGTTGAAATGAAAGGGCAGGTGTATCTGTGTCATTATTCATGAGTGCGGATAAACGACACAGTGAGACATGCATGAGCAGACTATATGCAGCAAACGCAACCATATATATTCTGGCTGTGTATTATCAATTGGTAGACCACATATAAAACACCTGAATGTAACATTTGACAACATGAATACAGCTTAGTGAAATCAACTGGAAAAGCGAAGTAAGTCGTTTAGCCAACAGCCTGTTTTCAATGAATTACTTCCCCTCAGCTGTACAGTTGCACTTATATACAGTCTTCTTATCTTCCTTCAAGAGATTTAGTTGGTAAGAAAAAAGGTGAGTTGTCATAATCATAGTTGTCAATAATAATTGATGCGTAAGATGAGTAGAACAAAGTTATTCTGCTTAAACAACATGATGGCTAATCTACCTGCTGATACGGAGACAGTTACATTGGTCATTCAACACGTATCCTGTCTCAAAGAGTTCAAGAACACTCACTGTTCTGCATGGAATCAGAAAAGTAGCATTAGCAACCTGCTGGTGACAACACGCTTTAGTATTCTTTGCATTGTTGAAGCTCTAGCCACTCAAGTAGGGAAATTTGCAGCTCTGTTTACGAAAACGAATTATCCTAGCACTTCTTTCATCATCGTAGTGATGCAGTTATTTTCAATCAACTTGATTTATTTTGTCTGTTCTTTACCACATCTGACTATTCTATTTCTCTTAAACTCCTAGATCATATCACATTTTTTCTCGTCGCTACCTGCATCCTGATTACATGTCATTCATTCAATTGCTAGTCGTGATACGTGGTTGAAATACTCTTTTCCAACTCCTCTTGTGCATTGATCGATAGTATTAGCAACTGTAATTGTGACAACTCATCATTTTTTTCACTCTCCTGGTTTCCGATAAGAAAATACGATTGTACTGATGAGGGAAATGAGATTGTCAAAGAGATCTACTTCTCAGAACTAATTCTGTATGGCAGTTATTCATAAAGTAATCTCTAGTTATATAGCCCTTTGCAGGGGAAAATAAATCTTTTGATTCCTTGTCAATCAGCCTTGTGTGTCTTCTTACCCAGTGTAGGAATATTGGTCAAGTGATCAGTCATATGGTGTGGTTATCATTTTGAAATAACTGTGATGATGAACGCACAAAACTTCAGTACCATCTCCAGTTCATTGTTACAATCTACATTTCTGTAATCTACAGTCAAATGAAATGATACCAATTCATTCGAGGCATACATATACAATATTCCTGGACTAATTGAGAAGGATTTTGTCATTTTGCCAATTACATACATTAAAGGCTATCGCTAGGATGACTGGGTCGTCGTTAAACCGATTAGTTAATGTTATTGTTCTGGACAGACGTATGTTGAACTCATATGCGAAGTCGGGGAATTTTATCTTGTCTTAATGACCGCTAACATTTTCATCGTATGATCAACCCTCCTCGATCGCGTCTCATCAGGTGTGTGCAAAGAGACGATTATGAAAGACTTTATGCTCGGATGAATAAGTCTAAAACATCTACGATATCTTATTTATCTGGTACATATTCTAGGTGATGAGTTGATCGTTAGACATGAAACTACTAACTTACTTGGAAACCGGAAGTAAACGGGCCTTTTTGTTCCTCCAGTCACCAATATATTCTCATCGATATTTCTATGGACTTTAAATTTCAACCTCACATTTACATTTCTACTGACATTATTAATAAGGCAAGTGTTTCTGTTACTTATTTTCCCCTTACAGTGTAGTGTCATGTAAAAAGAAACTTAGATGCGATATCGTATTACATGCTGAAAATTCCACATTGTATGAAAAGTCCTGTTTGGAATAAATCTCTCACTATTATTATTATAATTTTTAAATACCTTGTGTTGTTGCTGTTGTTGTTGGTTCAGCTGTCGTTGTATCTGGATTGACAGTAGTGTTATGCTGAATATTTGAGAGATTGTACGCGGTACCTATCGAATCAAGAATGAAAAGATAGTTGTTAATCTGAACCAAGTGCAGAATAGCAGTACAACGTAGATTAAAGTAGATAGTGATAACCATGGAATGCTGGATAGCTGTTTCGTCCTCCTCAGTAGTATGCACCTGTGATTCTACCACAGATCAAACACAGGACCTTCAGGTTACATGAACCGCTCACTGGTCATTCAGCCAGCGAAAAGGAAGCCAATGGTGCATGAATCCTAACTTGTATCAATTTTTGAAATACAGTGCAACAACACCAGCCAGTGTGATCGACGGTTCATTGTCCTCACAATCAACTCAGACCTCACTGGTTACGGCTTCCTATTAGACTTCTGGCCAGCTTCATCTTCTTTTGTCCTCTGTGTCTGCTTCAAAGTGCAAATTCGATTCAAGGGATTTGCATTATGGTCCAATGAACAAAGATGATGTATCTGTAATTTTCCTAGATGAATGACTTGACGAAATAATATTTTTTTTGATTTACAGCTTGATTCCACACCGTATTTTCAGTACAGGTATGGAATTTTCAGCATGGATATCGGTAGCCCAAATTCAGGCCGACCATAGATATCGGGTGTGCGCCGGCAGGGGATCGAACTCCGGACCATGTGCATGGTCGGCAAGGATGAGCAACTCTTGGAAAAGTCTGGTTATCATCAAGAAATTCAATTCGACGCTGAAAACCATCGAAGGCATTTAGCTAACAAAACGTTGGATCAACAGGTGAAAATGCATACCGAGCAAAACATCTGTTAGAATGACGGTGTGTTGTAACTTCTCAAATTAAATTGCTCAATGAGGTGTTGCACACTGACTAAATCTAACAAATTCCAGACGATCAAAATCATATGATTAGGAATCCATGAATGGAATCAAAGGATGTCTGTTGATAGCATGAAAACTGAGACGGAGGAAGAGTAAATTGACAGAGATGCTACGAATTCCTCAGGAAAAAGTCGATGACATACTGCTAGCTACTATGATGCATCAAATAACATCAAGTTAATATCTAGACATCATCAAAGCATTCGTAATAGGAGATGGAATATCAACAGAGACCGTATATTCGCATCTACAATCTGATAGGATCCCACACACTTTGTTATTGTTCAGTTATTTTAACGACTGTTAATCTCGCATAAGTGGTATATTATCATTTCCCAGGCACTTTGTTATTGACTATTACGACCAATTATTTCAAATACTGTTAGCTGTCTGTATTGGTTGTAAAAATGTATAAATACCATTTTCCTAAATAAGTTTATTGTCGTCGTCGTAGTTTGTCGTAGTTGTTGTACTACAATACACAGTCACAGACCAGACTTTGTCTTTTGATATTTGCGTGGTTCGCTGAATCGGAAGGTACCAGAAGCAGATAGGCATATTAGTCAGGCGCAGACAGAACAAGGCGACAACGTCCTAATTTAATTTCCCTACAGTTATAACACAATCAAACAATCAAATATTCATATATATATATATATATGCACTGGTTGTATTACCTGAACTCTGTCGTCTCGAAATTACACTGTAGCGACATTCATGACGAATTGGAGCTTCTGTTCGATAAGAAATACAATTAATGAAGAGAAATTGAAATAAATACATTGAAAATTAACATCACTGCACACGTATCATTACCTCATATAATTAATTTCACTAGTGAATTTGAATACAAACAACTATACTCTGACGTCGGTTGAAGAAATCTGAAGGACTGAACAGAAATAACTAAATCCCGATTTCCATCACCTGTGTCAATTCAGGGAGTAATTCTAGGTGGTTCATAGTCTTCGTGCGTCACAGAAAGCATTTCCAACAAGTTGGATACTTTCATCAACCGTTACTCTCGTTCGACATTGAAGATCGGATGGTCAGTTAGGAATGATAAATGATTATCAATGCTGGTGACGAATTAAGCGAAAAATTGTTGCCTGAAAAAAAATGCAGAGGTGAATGGAGATGTATGGATTGAATAATGCTTGGGAGACCAATGATTAGCGTCACCCAACTTGAAGGCCATTGAAAGGAACCGAAGTGCCTGGCGGAGAATTGAGCTTGACGTCGAAGATGACATGTGAAATATCATGTGAGTTGGGGATATGGAAGCTCATTGTCAATCATGGAGCCGCTTCAAATGACTCCAGCGAATAGGGTGAAGTGGAAATCTGCTGCTAATACCCTATTACTGATTACTGATAATTTAGGATAGATAGCATTCATACTGGGAGATGGAATATCAACAGAGACCGTATATTTCGATCTACAATCAAACAATCAAATATTCATGTATATATATACATGCACTGGTTGTATTACCTGAACTCTGTCGTCTCGAAATTACACTGTAGCGACATTCATGACGAATTGGAGCTTTTGTTCAATCAGAAATAATTGAATGAAGAAAAGTTGAAATATACAAATTGAAATTTAACATCACTGCACACGTATCATTACCTCTTATAATTAATTTCACTAGTGAATTTGAATAAGAACAACTATACCCTGAAGTCGGTGAAGAAATGTAAAGGACTAAGCACAAATAACTAAATCCTGAATTCCATCACCTGTGTCAATTCAGGGAGTAATTCTAGGTGGTTCATAGTCTTCGTGCGTCACAGAAAGCATTTCCAAAAAGTTGGAGCAGATTCAGGCAGGTTCACTATCCTTAGCTGCAAGTGAATATGTCAACTCATAACTACTGCATTACTTCATACCTTGTGCACACATTTTCTTCACTTATTGTTCCAGTATTATCATTCATCTTCCTATGCACTCTATCATCAGTCTGAATAACCAAGCGTCCATTCATCACTACTGCATGCACATATATTCACTGTTATTCACTGTGAATCACTTTTGGAATTCTGGTGAGATTCCACTACAGTTTCATTTGTAAACCGAAATTATTCAGATCTCAATATGTGCGATCGATTGATATAGCATAAATGGCCATCGAGAAGACAAGCATCAGTGCATGAGTCTATGAAATGCTGATGGAATGAATTTAGTAGTTGGATATCACTCATACATCAAGCGGTATTACATACTGAGCAACTCGAAGAAGCGAGTGTTCTGCCGGTTTATAGCGACTGTCATCATTGCCGTGTATTGGGTGAAAGATTCAACCAAGACAGTTGAATCAGTCCAAATCAATCAAATTTCAAAGTAAACTGGGATGAAATTTCATCTTGGTATAGAAGGAGGTTGAACCACCATTTTCGAATATTGTCCACTGAGTTAGACGCAGAAATGGGCATCTCTTAAACATGGGTTGTTCAATCCACACATACTGATCTCAAGTAATACAGTGACAAAGTCCACAAATTATGTATTCGGTGATGTAAGTAAAGAAGCTCCTTAACATGAAGGGAAATGTTAGCACATTTTACGTTGCAGATATCCCACTAAATGTTTACAAAATTGTGTAGGACGAAACAGCTGTCCAGTACTCCAGCTGTTTCAACTGAAAACGATAACTGTTGAAATAAGATTTGTGTCTGCAGATGGTTGTGTGTAGCAACACTTCTCACTTTATGTCATATGATCATTTGAAAAAGCAATGATAACAATACATATCGAACTATAAGTTGGGATTAATGACAGGAAGTAACCGTAGCAGCCGTTCATTCTGTCCTTCATTGCATGTGTGATTAGGTACACAGTGGCTAGCTGTCTTTGACCACAGATCTTCGCGTTCTACCTGTCACGTGTTAAACATTACACTGTGGTGAGCATTATTTAGACATTTAGCCCAAAATGATCTCATCCATGTCACTATCAAACACACGTCCAACTCATTGTCTCATGTACGTGTCCCACTCAAGCAATGACCTTCACGTGATGTCATTCAGTGGTGTCCTCAGATTATGTCGAATCCATTTCTTCTATCATATTTGTTGCACGATACGTTGTTGGTCCGTTCCTTCTCGTTAATACTTTCAGGTCGACCATTTTGTCCTGAGTATGGAGCGAGAGCATCCATTGAAGGCAGTCTGCAGTGGTCAGACGAAAATGCTTCTAGTGACTCATCTGTCCAGACTCTGAACCAATTATACACAGAAACTTGATGTTAGATATGAATTTCGCGATCCTGTTGCTTATTGAAAGCTGATTTCAGGGTAATGAAGATGAGTCCTGCTTTTCTAACATTCAGGGAAAACTGCACAAATATTCTGAGAAGATAGAAGAGACAAGACAAGCATCACTTGTCAAATAACACCTGGGTGCTAATTGCAGCGAGGAGAGGAGGATCGTAAAAGAGAACATGACTCAATACAAAGATGGACAACAGAAGGAGAAGCTGAGTTCACAACTATATACATTGCTCTGAATAAGGAAGAAAGCGAGGAAGAGTGCCGGCGAAGACAAATACAATTCTACGACACACTGGCCGCCAACTGAAGCAGAACAGGCAGGCAGGCAGGCCGCAGGTAAAACAGACCTCAGAACATTAGAACATCAGATAACCAGGCTGCTCGCTATCTGGGAACAGATCAACCCAGATGATGAAAGCAATAAAAGATGTTCAAGGAACCTGGTGAGCAGGGAGGAGAAACAAACAAATCAATGGACTGATCACTTTAAAGGACCTAGAGACTGAGACACATGTGCTCACGCCATTATGATGCGAATTCAGTGACGAATTATGAATTTTGAATATATGTGTATATATATGTATATATATACTTATTTCTGCAGTCAAGCCAATTTAACAGTCTGCCAGATTTCTAGTGCTGTAAACAAATTCATCTCTCTTTGAACCAGGTAAAACCAAGTACACCGTACTGATGAGATTGAGCCAGAAGGAGTAAACACACACATCACGTGTTTAGATCACTTCCGTTCGATACGTTGCTTAGCATATCAGGCAGTCAGTAGTATGTATCGTCACGCACTTAAGCGTAAAACACGATGCAATTAAATCATTCATGTAAGAGGAGTTCAGAGAAGTTGACCCGTTCTATTGAAGTCTGAACTGAAGCCATATTGCCTGAAATGACAACGAAAGCGTCGCAATTAGATTATCACTGAGCTCAGAGAACACAACCACACCCACCGAAATGTTCTCGTCAAAAATATGAGAAAGCAAAATAATTAACTATATTTCTTGAAATACCTTGTTCGTTTGTAGATGGTTGTGTAACAGCACTACTGACGTTCCTTTCACCATTCCTTATTTCATCTGTTCATGTAATGGACAACAATAATAACAGTAAATATCAAAAGACGACAGCGTTTGAATGACATGAAATATAGTCGGATGTCTGTGAGTGAGAAAAGGACACTGAAAGTGGAGGATACGAAAAGACTAACTGTCTCTCACCATAGATATGTTCGTATTCTGTTTCCCATGTTAAGTGGTAATATATGATGGGAAATATTGAGATGGTTATGTGTACAATCTTAAAGATATGAGGTAAGTCAATCAATGAAGTTGTAAATGAGCTGGATTGATCGAGAGTGTAGACCACGTGCCATGAAGAGACTAAGGGTGGCCGAAATGGAACACAGCATGAGGTGTCGTTGACAGTTTGCGAGGGCCAATTTCATTGTGAGGAGTGTACTGCCAGACTGGTTGGGGTTATCAAGACGTTAAGAATCGATGACTTGAAACTGTTCTCAGCGGAACGGATGCATTAACGTTTTGTGATCTCCGATATCCATCAAGTTCTCATGGTTTTCCACATCATTATTCTTTCTCAATGTAGATTTCTGTTCACTGTAGTTCTTTTGAGTTTCCTTTTTTCTTCGCTCTCTCTTTTGCTTGTTGTGTGTTACATGGAAAGTATGGCGACGTGAACTACGACTGGACTTCTGCATGGCATAGTTGTTCTCTGTTGAAACACAGTGAGTCAGTCAGACAGTCAGTTGGACAGTCAGACATAATATAAGATGTACACTGAAATATTACTGTGATTAAAAAGCAGCACTGTCTGTCTTCATTTGTGGGAAAGTTTATTTACACTTTAAGAGCTTTATTGCCATTCAGTAGAGACAGCGTCTTGTCAGAACATCGATCAATAGAACATGGAACATTTGTACTGACAGTATAATTGAATATCAAATGAGGTCACTGAAGGATTTCGTTTATTTAGGATTGGATTAGTTGATGTATGGGTAATTTAAGGAAGTAGACGTCAAACCGTCTGAAAGGAGGCTTCATATATTAGTCTGACATTTAGAATAGATGACATACAGGAAACTGTTTAAATGAAGACTACATAATTGCATAGGAAGAACTCATTATGCGGTTAAGCTTGCATTCCTCAACACCAACCAGATGGATGGTGCAACGATCTGAGAAGGCCTGTGTCTTTTAGTATGAGTGTGTTTGTGCAAGTAAATAAATACATACGGAAAGGCGACTGTGTCTAGTTCGCGTAATGGAGCATTCGTCCAAGTGATTGAAAAGAAGCTGAGTGAAGTCAGGACGCCAAGAATTTCGATGATAAAGCATCTTTTAGACTGTGGACATGATGCTGATATTCTGTCAAGTCATCCACTCCTGTCAACAGATAAACAAGCAGATACATGCTTGGTTTTTCAGAGACTTGTACAATTAGCGTCCATAAATCGTGTGTCTATGCACAGAAGGAAATACTGATGTCTTTCAATCCACTATGACAACATCTTCCACATATTCCATCTGTTATGATAATTATTTCCATCTCAAAGAGAACTATCTTTTCTCAGTACCCCTGTCTTTGGTCGTTTTATTAATTGGTTCGTAGATCTAGGATAATCTGTTCAAACGACTCTCTCAATGAGCAGCTTAACACCGCCAGTGAATCACCTATGAAAAATGTTTATCCAGATAAGTTCATTGAGAAAAAGATGAATTCAGAACCGAGAAGTGTGAGAATGGTGTCAGCTTGAAGAAAGCCCTTGTTCATAAAACTGCAGTTACTTGGTGATACCAGAGAAGTAGTATAGTAACACAGAGTTCGAAGAGTGCAATGAAAAAAGCATTTAGTGCAGCATAGGTACGTTGTCTCTTCAATACCACTCCTGTTTTATGTTGGAGAAATAAGGACAATTTCTCCTACCCAATTTCTCCTTCTCCTCTGTGTGTGTTTACCGGTTTCATGCTGCTGCTGCTGATACCGGTGCGGCTGCAGAGCTAGTTACATTGGGCGTACAATTAGACTGGTTGATTATCGTATTTCCGAATATCATCCTGTCTGATTGAGCAAAGGACAAACAAGATCCATTCGTAGTTCTTTTTTAGGACACCTTGTAGATAGTGGGCATAAAGTTGATGTTAATGAAGCATTGAAAGTTAGTCATCACATTCAAACTAATGTCCCTTCTGCTCAACGAGTTTCTCTTTCGCATACAGCTGAATGCATCGAGTTGCACCTAAAGACGCCAAACCTGTGTGTTTAGAAGAAATTCGTGCAGCCACGTTTCTTGCCATGACCATCGCTCTGGGAATTCAGCTTATCTCTCTCTAAGCCTTTTACAAGTTATCATTGCAGAAATTAATTTTTAATTTTTCCGATTCCTTCATCTTTGATTGCTTATCACATAACTGAATTCAACACCCCCTTATTTCTAAATCACTCTGTATTTTCTCCGAAGTTTACTTATCAGTGACATATATCTCCTAGTGTATTTCTAGTAGGCTGCAAACATATCACTGTATGCAGAGTATGCCACTGAGGAGGAGTTCTACCGAAATTCGATGAATTCAAGAAATCATGCTTTATCAACATGGAGAAGACGACAATATCATTCAGAAAGAGACTCTTTCCACGAATTTATCATCAAGGTGTACAATGATGTGTTTGCATTGAAATTTCGTCTTCTTCTTTATTCGTTCTGTGTAACTTTCCTTCCTCACTTGTTGCGTGATGTTTCGTTATTCGCCTGCTAATTCTGTTAATACCATTGATTTTACACCCCTTTCGAAGATTTATACATTCTGTGAACTACTTTACATATCACGTAATTTGTCTTATCACTTTATATTGAATGAACTGAGATTATAATCACAAACATTTTCTCACATTTCAGATTATTGGTATTATGAGTACTCACACGTTGTACTTTAATTTCCTCACGGCATATGGTTTCTTTACAAAACTCAGTTGTGTACGTGATTGTAGATTTTGATGACAAATTCATTGAAAAGAGTCTCTTCACTGAATATTATGCTGTTAACGTTAATTACACGGGAACTAATAAGTTCGATCCCTGCACATCAAAGCTTGAGGGTTCATCTAGTGTTAACTAGTTCCTAACTGACTATGGGATGACGTTTTCTGAAGTCCTAGTGAAAAGTTGTTACCATTGGTGTAGACCACGTTTCCTGGTGTGAGAACGAATACTCTCCATTGACAATGGCTGACAGTGGCGCTTAAAATCGTAAAAGTTAGAATTGATAGGCTGGCAACTGGATTCCATCCCACTAGCTGAATGACTACGATGCTGGTCTTGTAACGGGAAGGTCATGGCTTCGATTGCTGATGGTGGCGTCATGGTTGCTACCGTTGAGGAGCCTCAAACAAGGGATGGTCGGGGAAACGGCCACTCACTACTCTCTGTGTTACTTCAAAACAATTCTTATTCGGGAAATAAATGATCGTCACACTTGACGATTAGTAAGGCTGTGTGGATTGTTGAGGTATAATTGTTTACTGCCTTACCATCGGTGTTTTTTATATTTTCTACCGTTCTCAGTGAAAACCTAATACATGTCTAGTTCAGTTCAATAATGAAGTATGAAAGATAACAGATGGCCAACTTACCTTCAAGTTGACGTAGTAAAGCTTTATATTGGTCCACATTTGTAGTGTATTTTCTACGTAGTACTCCTAACAAATAATCAGTAAGAATTTTGATTGTTAAAGTGTAAAAGGTCATTTGAAAATGTTACAGTTAGGACAGTGTTATTGTTATTAGTAATTCATTCCTAGTGTTTTCAGTGGAACATTGAGCTTCAGCCGGGATATATCCCCATTTCACTCATTTCATTGCAATCAATTTTCAACTGGCTTGACGACTGCTCATTAGCTTTCATTCCCTCCATTTCACACCATCTCCCCACATCACTCTGGAAACCATGGCCAACTCGTCGTTTCCTATTCAGGTTCCCTTGTACAGACTTTGTGGTGCGTGATGTCACTCAAAGGTCTCCTCAGAGTGTATTCAATGCATCTCCATTTGCTTTTGAATACTTGCTGGGTGCAATATAGGTTGTTGATGCTCCGCTGCAAGGGTTTCTTGTTTCTCATTCCTTCAGGCTGACTATCGGATCTTGAGTAGCGAGACTAGCAGAGTGGCTGTTGATGACAGCCTTCAAGAGTGGATTGAAAAGTCTTTTCGTGAATCACACCTCAAGTCAGTGAAGTTGATAGACTCTACTGATGAAAACCTAGTTGATGTTGTTGTTGCTCATGCAGATTGCGGCAGATTTCCAAACTGATTTCAGAGTAATGAAGGTCTGTCTTACTTTTTCGATCGTGATCGGTGGAGTTTGACATCCTCATCTGTGCGTCTTTCTGTAGTTGTGAGAGTGTTGCCCATATAGGCCAGGTGAACAGGTGACTTCATTTCGATTACACCTGTTGACGGTGGTTGTCACTGTCTAGGTATCTTCATCACTTCCATCTTCCCTATGTTTAGTTGAAAGTGCTTTTTTCGTTGCTAGCTTCTTCTGCCAACTCATTAGCTTTTGCCTATAGACGTTATTCAAGCTTGTGTGAAATAAGGCGTAGTTTATCCGCGAAGTCCAGAACTTCTAGAGTCTTTTTGTCAGTCCAGCTCATACCTATCTTTTTGCTTCCCACGGCATGGCACGTGACCGTGTCCACCACAATTATAACAGTCTATAGTAGGTGTTGCAGCGTAAGTCATATTTTCACTTTGGAGGGTTCACTGAGCTTTCTGCTGTGAATAACTCGGTATCTGGTATCATCAAGTAGATGGTGAATGAGGTTGATAAAGATTTGGGGCAGTGCACTCCGTAGTGCTGAATGTAGTATCGGATGAATATGAGAGAATAATACTGGCAGAAACTCTTGTTGAAAGTAGCTACCCAGAGAAGCTCACAGGGAGATGTGAAGGCATCAGAAAATAAAAATGTTCATGCAGCTAACACCTGGATACTTGAGAATATGGACTCTGCATATCCATATGGACCCTTAAAGCATACGAAAATTGGTGTCACACCCCACTCTATGAGTCAAGGTTTCACAGCACAGAGCTAAATCGCTTTAGGAGCATGCCTAAACCTCTAAAGCCATTATCGATACCAATGACCTGGCTATTCCATCGTGAAGCATATTACAGATACAAGACATGACAAGAAGACATGTATACGTTTTCTAAGAAGTGTTTCTGTTGCGTATCCTAGAGTATTTGGAAACCTAAGTGATCAGGAAGATTAAATCATACTTATGTGTTCAACGGAACACTTCATCGTCAGATTAGACCTTGCTTGATAAGCGTCTTCGCTTTGATACCAGTATGCATACATGTATTTGTTTCGTTATCCTTCTTCCCTGGTTATGGTTTATTTGTCGCTTTTGTTATTATTTTGACCTTTCATATATAGCCTTCTGATTTGGTCACAGATGTCTACTCACTTATTCTTTACAAGTTTATCATTATTTTCCATATGTATTCTTACGAAAAGTACGTGCACATCTCATCCGATGTGTACGCTATGTAGGTTACACAATTGGGAAAGAATAACATCTGTTCTGAGTGGAACAAATTTATTCCACTCTTTAGAGTTCTTCGCAGTTATTTTCAGTTGTATCTACGACTGTTCGTGTGCATGTTTCCATATCATCCTCTTCATCGCACGATCGTCTCTATGCCACCCTTGGAATCGCACCTTACTAGTCATTCCTTATCCAGGTTCCACGTGATTGCCTGCATGGTGTATGATAGCACTTTTATGCCTCCTCAATGCATGTTAATTCTTTCCTCATCTCTCCTCTACTGTTCTTTTTTTGAAAACAACACAGTTTGCTATTGGAATTGAACTAACTTGATGTTTTATGCTCTTTTTGGTGCATCGTAATTATTTGTTATAGTTGAATATTGTCTGCTGCATATGGTTTGTTCATGTACCCATTAGAGTTGAACATTGTTCATTCGAATCCCTTTATTCCGTGTCTGGCATCCGCATGCTGTTTAAAGAATACGTGGATTGCATTTGATACAGCTCTGTAGTTTCTAATTATTGACGCACATTGACTGTGTTTTGTGTATCCATTCAGCCACAGACACCCCACAACTTTCGTCCCGAATTACTTTTCAGTATGTCCAATCCACCGATATATATACGGTTAGATTTTTATTGCACAATAAAGTAAAACTGTGGAGAAAAGCAAGATTAAATTCACTTATCTGATAACTTACCAAATCTTCTTGTCAAATTTTCGATCGCTGCTATAACGCCTAAAATGTTTGAAAGAGTGAAAGGAAAGGCTTTAGCATGAGTAGTAATGATGAGCTTTCCATATAACTGGTTATTATCACTATTATTACTATGGGTTCGGAGTGGAACGTGAGGATTTAGCTACACATTTATACTTCATTCTATTTTAGCCGTCTTCTTCAGCTAGGTTCACAACTCTCCATAATCTCTCATCTCCTCCTCAGCGCACATTCTCCTCCATGTCACTCTTGCACCGCCGTCTCACTCGTCGCATTCCATTTGAATTCCAGTTGATCAATGGCCTGCACTCAGTGCGATGTCAGTTGACTGACTCGTCATCGTATGCCTGACCCATATCCATTTTCTCCTACACATTTGTTGAGCAATCGGCTCTTGATTGGCTTGTTCTCAGCCAGAGTTTCTTATCACTTATTCTTTCTAGCCAGCTGACCATTTGATCTTCAGCATGGATTCAGCCAAGGAAGCTGTTGATATTAGTCTGTAATCTGTTGGAAATCTCTTTTTGTCACGCCGCAAAGTTTCTCACACGTGTAGAAGGATCGACTTGACATTCGTGTTGAGAATCCGAATCTTGTTCTTTCTACTGGCTTAGTGACAGCAGAAGATTTCCAAACTGGTTTCGGGTTATTGAAGGCGCGCGTATCTTGCCTCTCTGATTCTGGCTGGCTGGCTGGCTGACTTTGACATTGTCATCCGTTCGACGTGGCTGTAGTTGAAATGAAGCTTCCTAGCCGGATAAATGAAGGTAGTAACCTCTTTCAAATCTCTCCCACTGATGGTGATTGGTGATGGTTGTTATTGTCGTTGTTGCTGTTCTTCGGTTATCTTCATCATCTCCGTATTTTCTATGTTCACCTGGAGTCCTGTCTTCGCTGCCAGCCAGCCTCTTCTGCGAGTTTGTTGGTTTTCACCTACCTGTAAGTCTTCGAGTTTGTGTGACATGAGATATGTATCATCTTTGAAATCCAGACGCTCTAGAGTCTACTTATCGGTCGTTCGGCGTATTCCTTTCTCTTTGCTCCCCACGCACAGTCTGACACACAATCCAGTCCACCACAATTAGAAATATCATCAGTGATAATAGATAGCCAGCTTGTCTTCCTCTTGTACTCACTTCGAATGCTTTATTGAGTTTCCCATTGTGGATCACCTGACACATGCCATCGTCATCTAGCCAACTGCTGCACGATGTTGATGAAGATTAGGAGCACTTCACAGTGTCGAATTAGTTTCCAAATTACTTCTCGTTACGGTCAACGCTGTCTGTCAAAGCCCCTGCCAAAGTCGATGAAGTTGAGGTAGAATAAGTTGACTGCCATTCCATGCTTTGTTCTGTGATGACGATGCATAGAGTAGCAATTAAATCAACACGTGACTTCCCTTTCCTGAATCCACCCAGGATATTTTGAGGCTAGCGGAGTCCTGCATCCAGGGGATCCTTTTTCTCTCCAGGATGATGCGACACAGTAATCTACTGGGCGTGGACAAGAGCATTATTCCACACCAGTTCTTGCAGAGTGAGGCATAAGTCGCCCTTCTTCGGCAGCTTGACAAGGTAACCAGCCCTTCTTCCAATCGGCAGGTACCTTTCCTACTTTCCAAACCTTGTGCACTAATGGCGTGAGCACATGTGTCTCAGTCTCTAGGTCCTTTAAAGTGATCAGTCCATTGATTTGTTTGTTTCTCCTCCCTGCTCACCAGGTTCCTTGAACATCTTTTATTGCTTTCATCATCTGGGTTGATCTGTTCCCAGATAGCGAGCAGCCTGGTTATCTGATGTTCTAATGTTCTGAGGTCTGTTTTACCTGCGGCCTGCCTGCTCCTGCCTGTTCTGCTTCAGTTGGCGGCCAGTGTGTCGTAGAATTGTATTTGTCTTCGCCGGCACTCTTCCTCGCTTTCTTCCTTATTCAGAGCAGTGTATATAGTTGTGAACTCAGCTTCTCCTTCTGTTGTCCATCTTTGTATTGAGTCATGTTCTCTTTTACGATCCTCCTCTCCTCGCTGCAATTAGCACCCAGGTGTTATTTGACAAGTGATGCTTGTCTTGTCTCTTCTATCTTCTCAGAATATTTCTACATTCTTCCCTGATTACTGGCGTCACTGGGTTGCAATATTCTTCCATTCACACTGTTTTCCTCAGCGATACCATTTGTTTCTCCTATATGGCTCTGAACTTATCTTTGTGGAAAATTTCTTCGTTTTGTCCTCCAGTTTCTGAATGTCGAACTTGATTTATTATCGGTCTCCAATTTTCCTGAAGGATCCTTTTTCACCTTGAAGTTTCCTTGAACTAGATGATGGTGTGAGCCCACATCTGTTCACTGTCTTAACTTTGTGTTTATCAGGCTGCATCTTCACCTTCTTTGGCAACGTTGAGATGAAATCTATCTGGTTTGTGGTATGTTCGTCAGGCGAAATCCATGTTGCTTTGTGTATATCATTGTGTTAGTACACGCTGCCTCCGATCACCAAGTCATAGAAGGCGCAGAAGTCTGCGAATAGTTCTCCGTTCTCATTCATTTCTCCACTCCATAGCCTCTCAATCCATGAATATTTCTCTTGCTATATTATCTGCTTCCATTTTTGGTTGACATTCATATCGCCCATGAGGATTTTGATGTCGCTATTTGGGATGTTGTCCATTAATGTTTGAAGGTGCTTGTGAAAATCCTCCATCTTCTCTTGTTTGTTGCATTAGATAATTTTGACCTGTCTTCCCTCCATCTTAGTTGAATGTTTTGGAAAACGAAGTTACTCAAGCTAGGACTTCACAACATGTGATCTACTTTACTCCATAGCGATCGAAATATCGTTCATAAATGCATGAAACTGTATACTACTGATTGGTGATGTGAGAAGTTGAATACCACTTGAGCATCAATCAGCTGAGGAATTAGAAATAAATTAACTCTCTTCTCACCCTGCAAGTATATATATATTCATATGTATGCCTACATAATCGTTGATCCTTTGTTCTCTCAGTCTCAGATTTCGAAAGACGATTGCACTTTCTGAAGACACTCAGCGAAAATACATCACAGCCATCAAAAGACTTTGTAAAAACAATGATTTGCAATAGTCATGAGTGCAGTGTGAGTCTTGCGGCAACAGCTTTCTCTTGATCTGGTTTATCTACTCCTAACGTCTAGTGTTAAGGGAAACAGTAATATCAGGGTTAGAAGTATGAGCTAAAAGTGCTATTAGGACATGGAGTCAGACTTTAGTTATAGATTAGTGTAGAAATGAGGGAGAAGGTGAAGTATAGGCTTAAAATTCAGACTAAAGTTAGGAGTTAAAGTGTTATATCGGTTTCTGAAGCGAGAGTTGAGTGTTATTTTAGGTTAGAAGTTATGAATAAGGGTTATACTGGAGATAAGACTAGTGGTTACGGTTTAGATTAGAGTTAAGAATAAGAGTAAACAGTTGCATTGGAGTGAGGAGTAGGGGTAAGGGGTGTCGCAGAATCGTCCGACACTGAAAAGAAGTCCAACCAATTTAATACACAGTTTATCAACAAAACCTCAGCTTTTTCATAATCCTTCAATTGGATTGTTTGTTCAAGATTATCCGGTGTCTGTTCTAGTTTAATTTAACCAGACATTCACCATCCTTGCAAGTACGTTTATGTACAACATACACCGTAGTAGATAATGAGATGAAAACACTTGCAAACCGATGAGGGATGCGTCAGCAGATGCCTTGAAGAAGATTTGGAAAACTGACTAGGAAGTCACCTCTCCTATAACGACCTTTTCTTTTGAAAAAATCAAAAGTAGACACACTCACGTTTATACATCCCAGGCTGATTGATTTTCGAATAGTGTTGCATTTCACATCGAACATCTAAAATTTCAGGTAATTACTCTTCAATAATATGCAATAATTCGCATTGTTAGTCACATGTAGATCACGAGCGAGTAAGAGACGAGACTCTTTCCCCAATGAATTTATTATCAATGAACATAATCCTATGTAGACATATATAATGTTAAGGTAACCGTATAGATTTGAATACTTAGTATTATTCTCTTGTGTTTAGACTAATTTAAGGAGCTTCATTTAGAGCACATCAACACCTCACTCTCTTCTCTGCAGTTCCTTTCAGCTTACTCCACGACTGCCGACAAGCTTTCAATTCCTCATCATCAATGATATTCTATGCCCTACTCGTGTCTCACTTCCCATTCGAACTGCATTCGAGCAATGGCCACACTGACGATATCATTTATATTAATAATAAGTATAGTGTGAGTAACGACGAAATATCTGTGATTGCAATGAAGCAATAAAACAGACTGTGTAAGATACAAAATAGTTCATCCTGGGAATGGAATGTGAAATTAGTATGATTAGTAGGCAAATGCAAACACTTCGTAACAGGATGTGTGAATTTCAGTAGGGTAGAGTTTAACACTTCGAAGAATACATTGGAGTGTTAACTAATCAAGGAGTATGAGCAGGAGGCCTGATCGACTCCTCTTACTCAACAAAACTTGACTGACAATGATTTCAATATGATCTATCGAATTCATGCAAGATTGCCATGGTTAAATTGACTGCAAACTTCTAATGACAGTGGAGGCCTTGACCACTGATGAATCTCCAGTCATGGTTTCGTATACAAAAGAAGTATGTTCAGTGCATGTTTCAATCTTCGATTTAAAGGGATGACCTATGTATTTCCAGCTTCCAAGTATTGTTCCACTTGTCACCCGTTATAACTTCACGTCAACGTATATTTTTGTAGCAGTGTTGTAGTTCATCTTAGCAAACTCTTCAACTTGTTGCGTAATGTTTTCATTTGCTTACTAATCTCATTAATCGCTTTCCAAGATTTATGCATTCTGAGAACTACTTCATATGCTGCATTACTTGTTCTATCACTTGATACTTACCTGTGATTGATAAGCACAAAATGTTCATCGAATTTCACATTATTATTTATTATTATATTTATTCATACCTTTCTGCAGTCCAACACATAATACTGATTAATTGAAATGACTAGTTGCATACTCTACACATCGACCAGCAGTGCTTGCTGGCCCCATTGAAGTGATGTAATCAGAGGATGGCCGTTTCTCCCGTTTGTGGCCGGGGTCATCAACGATATATTTGCTTTGATTACCATTCATGATATCGAGAAGATCACAATTTCTTCATGAGCTGAATAATTTAGATTTCCTAAGGAAACCATGGTGAGATTTCACCTGAGACTGAGTACGTCGTTAATCTCAGCAATGTTCTGTGTTTAAACTTCCTGATGCAACCTGCATAGCTCGCTGAGAATATCATTTATACATGTGATTGTTCAGTTTGAAAATGAATTCGTTGCTAAAAGAGTCTTTTCACTGAATCACATTTACCCTTAAATATTAATTTTGTGTTCTTGATTTTTGTAGACTTACACGTTTGAACCTGCATGTCTTGATCATCTAATTGTTGACTGATTCGCCCTGAAATATGGAGAAGAAGCAGGAGAAAACACGCCTTGTTTTACACATCCTACTTTTGATAACTTTATGAAAAATGGAAAGGATAGATTAAATTTTCCTCAGTATTCATTATTATTTTATTCAACACAGGTTCTCCTCAGTTTCCGCCACCTGAAATCACAGTGGTTAACGTACTTCACTCAGGTTAAATAATGATGATCCATGGGGACGAAGGCAACAATGACTTTGGGACATGCAGAAAGAGTAATTCAGAAAAGCCGGGTAAATTACACTGTATTCAAGAAAACGGTTGTCAGTAAGGTGCAAGGATATTGAAGAAGATGCTTAGTTGATTGTGGGTTAGGTTAAAGTAAGATATGGGTTTGGTTCAGGTTGAGACCTGATTGAATCATCAGACTACCTGAAATTTTCGACAAGCACAATGCATCAAATTCTTCTCTAATTCTCATCATTTCAACCATGCAGTCGTTATCTTGTGTGGCGAAGTGTATTGACACACATTTTGAATCAGCTGTCAAACTATCGGTGGATATGTTTGGAGGCGAAGGAAAAACAGCACACAGGGTAGGTTTATGCCTCAGTTCACCTAATGCAGAACACGATTATGGTTAGGTAAGAGATAGATTACGACTATGCTAATGCTAAAATGTAGAAAGGTTGGACTCACAGTTGAGTTATACTGCTAAGAGAAGCTAATTGAGTATGTTGTGCTGTATACTCACATCCAAGTATATCTGAGTGAAACATTACAAGCAAGTAGCATAGGGAGTAAACCTTGGCTCCTCCGTCGAATACTTTGCATTAGGTGAGACTTAATTACTGATGCAACAAATGTATATATCCATACGGCTGTTAGATTACATTATAAGATAATCATCGAGTTAGCTGTCCTTATTCCAATGTTCCTATTTCCAGTCTCTCATTTCATATGGTGTAAATGTTTGCACACTCCTCAGATGAGTGATTATTTTAGGCCTTTTCTGAACTGCACATAGTAAATGGATTGCCTATCTTCTTTGATGATGTACTTCACCTCGCTGTATTCAAACCAGCAAAATGATGGTTAGCGATTACTTCATGAAATTTGTTAGTTGTTTGTAACTAACCCTTCAACCTTATTGGTTATAGTCATCAGATCACGATCATATTATGTTGCTCCACGACACAGATATTTGCATCATGTAAGTTTCTTCTCAAAAATGTCTGAAAGAGGTGATGATGAATTTAGCGGTTGAAATGAGCCACATAGAGAGGTGCAGACTGGTTAAACGGTTGGGGATTCTGAGAAGATGTAAACCTGGATACAGTGGCTGAGATGGTTCAAAATTGTTCTCAGCGATGCAGGGATACATTCACTCTTTATGAACACTCAGATTCAATAATTTCTCATTACTTTCCATGTATTCATGCTTTCCCCGTACATTTATGTTCATTATAGTTTCTCTGAGTTTTATGCCCACTAAGTATACATATTTGTGCCCTATATATGGAGTTTAGCAACTTAAACTGCTGCAGTTTAGGTAAAAAGTTTGCTAATGACAAGCATGAAGAAGCGGAGAGATTCGTGATAGCAAGAATACTGGAAAGCAACATGCTTAGACAAACAAATATTCAGATAGATAGACTTAATATGTAGATAAAGGCTTAGATATAACAAATGGTTCGATGAAGTAATGCTGGATTGTAAGGGAAGTAAATAAACTATGCTTTGACGAAGATGCTACAGCATTGACGGATGATAATGAAAGAAAGAAATACTAATGATTAAGGAGTGAAGATGATATAATCAGCTGGTCAGGTTTTTATTGCCACAGGGAAGAATTACCGCTGCATCAGCTACTTGTGAATGCATAGTTTAGACGTCGTAGTTCAGATATCAAGTTGATATGATTATGAGCAATATTTTGTGCTCGAAACATCATCAGATAATATTACTGTACAACACTGTGTGATTTATCAAAATCAAATCTTATCCATAATGGAGCAGCAACAGGTTAGCTAGGCTCTTTAGTGGTTTACGGCACATGAGCAGATGAAATGATAAATACACGCAGATATATCGGAACTAACTATTTAATCCTTCGTTCGAGTCGCAATCACTTGCTGACTAGAGAAGAAACAATGTCTGTTCACTGGGTGAAATTTTCTCCCTGTACTTCTGGGTAGTCTTTGGAATGTAATTGGATTCAACCGTTCTCATTTTTTTCATCTTTGTTGTTATTATTATCGTTACCGTGGCTTACTGTACAGTTTACATGATCAGTCTCATCATCCAGTTGAGAAATCACCATTATTATTATTAGCATTTCTCTGAATTCCGAATGGAGCATAGAGCTTCCATAGCATGTCTCCATTTCAAACGCATGTCCATTGCAGTCCTTTCCAGGTGACTCTACGATTTCCGACAGGCTTTCATTTCCTCCTTATCCCACGATATTTCTCATATCGACTTCACACGCACAACTCATCGTTTCCCACTCGAGTCCCACTCGAGCAATGGCCTGGAGCGTGATATCACTCAGAGGTCTTCTCAGCACATATCCGATTCACCTCAGTTTTCTTCGGTATATATTTCTTGGGGGAATAAATTTCGGGTTGGTTTCTTACCTGCACGGGTCCCTTGTTGCCAATAGCTTGTGGCTAGCCATCCGAATTTCAGTATGAAGCGAAGGCAGTTGTTGATAAAGTTTGCAATTTGCTTGGAATATTTAGCTGACATGCTGAGTCGCTCAACCATATAGGAGAACTGACTTAAGAGTTGTGCTGTAAATACGAATTCTGTTCCTTGTGCTGAGTGCAGTTGACTTACACACTGATCTCAGAGCGTTGAGGTTCTGTCTTGACTTTCCGATCCTGACTGATTTTGTCATCCTCACGTGTACGATCACTCGCAGTTGAAACAACTTTATCCATGGTAACTGAAAATAGTGACCAGCTACAAATTCCCTCCTTTGATGCTGATTGGTGCCTTTTGTAATTGGTTAGGTGTCTTCATCATGTCTGTCTTCTCTACGTCCACCTAAACGCTTGACAAATCACGATGAGTGGTCTGTATTGAATCATATTTGTTTATAAATTTATGTCTGCGTACATTGGAGTAAAGCCTGTTGATGATATCTAATTGATAACACGAACTACTGGCCATGCTTACAACATGTTGTTTTAAATTTCATCATGGGAATCTTGAATATTTTGGAAAATTCCTATAAGAAATCAATCAATCAAAAGTGTGAATCAACCAATTACTTTCTGACTTACTTTGAATCGATGATGCAGACGACAAGAGACCGCCGATAGTGAAGAGTGTACTTTGAGAAAGTTCTGTGAAGACAGAAAGATAGTAGTCAACAATATGTTGACAGTGACGTCAGAAAAACACGATGAAAATGTGAAAGTTCAGTTTTAGACACCGAAGAGGCGCGGACGCCACACCACACCAGTGACCTTGGAAGAGAGCTACACCAGTGCAGTGTAAGTTTGACTTTTCAACTCACTCCGAACCTCAAGTTTTACCTTCCACGCAATCTAGTCCCTCTCTAACCTAACACTGACCGTAATACCTCCTTGCACAGGCTGAGAAGAGCACTGCGTGACAGGAGGCGTAGAGCGGGTCCATTTTGTACTTCATGTCTCACTGAATCTCTTGTCAACCAACACTTTAATTACCTCAGGAATGGAAGTTGACAGTTTTGCTAATGCAATTCAAACACAAAGAGTGTTTTAGTGATCTCAATCAATTTCAATGTAGATTTGGTGTTGCAACAACAACCAACAACCACCCAGCAGTCATCGCGAAACCAAGAGACATACTGAACAGCTGCTTTGTCATCCTAATTCAGTCATTGAATTTCAAAACTCATGGCTGAATGGCCTAGTAACCTGAATGTCCTGAAGGGTTCTATCCCCACCACAGTCTTTGCTGTGTACTGGTGAAAGGGTACAACTGTGACAAAGCAACTGTCCAGAAATCTCTGTTTTTAATGATTATCTTACTGATGTTGGTTCCAGCTCTAATCGAAGCCTTTACTGGTGTCTCTTCAGTGTATGTTTAGTCCAATTCACTTGTAACAAGTCTTAACTATTTTGTGCTAAATTGTTTGTCAGCCAACTGCTTACACAATCTGAATAAGTGAAATTTGATACTTCTACTAATACACTGTTGAAAATTAAAACAAGTGATTCAGCGAAGAGACTCTTGTCAACGAATTTATTATCAAGCTGTACGATCGTATAAATATGTGGTTTTTAAGAAATAATACGCGGTGGGGTGATCGGATCGTAGGCGTGTATATACCTATGTGAATAACTTGTTTTGATTTTCTGTCTGTCTCAATTTGGTTTATCCATCAACTGCTGCCCTAATAAGATACTTTGGATGATTAGAGAAGCAAATGTGGAACAATAATTAAGAATTCTCATTGTGTTTTCTTTTATTCCTTTGCGTTCCGAGTGGAACATAGGGCTTCAAGGTGGAGCTTTGGAGTTTCGATGGCAGTGGTGTTTTATTCTTATGGAGTGAGGCTGCTAATCTCATGATCAGCCTTCCCATTTGCTGGGCTTATTACCAGCTAAGCGAGGTCTGTGAGTGCGTCCTGCTGAGGATCGAATCACGAACCAGGTGAGTGGATGGCGAGCATTCCACCTTTGCGCCACCGACGCACTTCCTTGTGTATAGGTGGATAAAAACGTCCAGTTAGCAAAACTGCTGCATTAATGTGAGTGATTTATTCGAAGGTTTTCCGAAAATGAGAACGCTTAAGAGTGTCAGAAGTTATTGAGCCACATAAAAATGTCGCAAAATCACTGAGGTGACTTATACATCATGGTGTTCTGGGATCCGTTTATATTTTTGATTCTGTTCTATTATCTTCCATAGGATCCTAATCCTCCGTAAAGACCAGTTATCTTGTCAGGTTCCCTCTGCATATTTCTGCCTAGTTAACTACAAATAATTCATTACTCACATAGTAACCACCTCATTATGCAAATCCAGAACAGGAGTCCCGATCTCATTGATTTACAGCATCTACATGAGCGGCTGTTGTGGTTCAACTTCACCCTTCAATGCACGTCTCTGCTCTCATACACCTCAATTCATTTCTCATTCCGTGCCCATCTGTGTCGAGATTTCAACTGTCTGTTCAGAATATTTCATGCCACAGATAATTACAGGATGCAGTGAAGCTAGTTCCACGACTGTGTTAGCAGTGACATGATAGTACCGGAACTTTTTGATTTCGTTGTTCCTGTTACTTCGGAATACCAAAATTATATGAGAATAATCATTCCATCAGCTATTATTTCAACACATTGAGAAGATTTAGAAGGCTAACCAGATAGGCGAGGACAATGCGACTGGCAATACAGTCATTTATATAGTCAAGGGGTTCTGAACATCTGTTTCATCCTCCTAATTTAGGACACTAAATCACTACACGCTGAAGACCCAAACGGAGATTGAACTCAGGAAATTCGTGTTAAAAAGGCGAGTTCACTTATAACTTCCAACAATCAGCAACAAAAAATCAATGTTGTCGGCGAGTATTTGTCCTTACAGGGAGTGACTTTGTGGACCCAGATGGTCACAACTTCCCACTAGTATTGCAGACAACTTCATCCTGTAGTCATCTGCTACTGGTCACACCGAATTAATTCCCAAGTGTTTGTTTGCGGAGTGATTTGATTGATTTCAAGTTTGGTCAGGAACCGACTTCAGATAGACAACTGTTCGAAACAGCTGCCAATACTTCCTGGTTTCCATAATAAAGTTTGCTCTGAAGCTGTCAAGATGGACAATAAAGGCTTTGCGATTGATTCAGCCTGCTCACAGAACACATCTGGATAAAAACTCGAAATCTAATGATCAAATAACGAGTAATTTGCCTACAAGTGCATAGGCGTCACACTGATGCTGTCTCGTGCAGGCAGCTTACAAGTCGTCTGATTGGTGGATTTTAGTCAGGAAACTATGGATATAATCGCTGATTAAATTTATAAACTCCTGAAATAACACTGATCAACAAATTCAGCTTAGCACAAGACATCAAAAAAGGACACTGCAAGTAATGGCACACACCGCTTCGAGAAAAATTCAATAATTAGAGGAAATGAACTTCATCTCACCTTCATATTGGTTAGTTTTATTATTCACTTCTTCCAGCGCTCGTCGAATATCTGAGAGAGGGGAATAATGGAGAAGGTTGGATTGTAAACAAGCGTTAATCATGCTGTAGCTCACTGGATTTTGTGGATAATTGTGAGACATCATTTTTGAGTGACTACTGTATACTGCTCAAAGTAAAGGTCGCGTATGAAGCTAGCAACCACACACCTTAAGAACTTCTGACACTTCAAAGTTCAAGCTCGAAGACCTGTGTTCCAATGTGAGCTCAAGGAAACAAGAACATTTGAAGGCATGCCTTCGCTACCACGACGGAGAACATCTCATGGTTGGCAAGTAAGTAAAATCATGAGACAAGGAACTCTGACAATTAGAAAACAGACGAAGTATTACACAAAAAATATGCAGTTTAAAGTCGATATGGACTGAACATATGTCAAGAAGACTGTCGTACGACATCGCGTGTCAGGTTGACGCTTCAGTGGAATGAGAAACGACAAGTTGACCGTGAGTCCGAGAGTAGCACGGAGGTGACTGTGCGTGTTAGAGCAAATGAAATCATTGTGTGGAGTAGCGCATCCAGCTGCTACTGATGGTGGAGGACAGAATACAAGAGAGACGTGCTTTGGAATCCGTGTACTCCCAAGAGACTACTGATAATAAACTTTCAACATAATATTAGTATAGGTGTTAGAAAGCATCGATTTTTAACGTTTCACTTGAATGCTCTTCTCACTTACCACTGATTGATGCTTCAGTTGAAAAATGATAAAAAACAAACATGAAAGTCGAGAAAAAATCACATTAAACTTGAATGTACATATTCAAAATACGAACATGATCTGCAATCGTGGCAGGGAACTTTATGCACAGGTAAGCAAAAATGGCTCTTAGACATATCCAACCCTAACCGTTAAAGTATAGTTCACTGATGATGTTCGCGACTGTGATGGACTGGATCGCGCGGCAGATATTAGGTGAGGAGTGAGATGATGGAAAGACGTTGGACCGACATAATGAATCTAGAAGATCTGAACTTTGCGAATGATTGATGCCGAATTTCACACAAACTCGAAGATGCAGTCGAAAATCAACAAGTTGGTAGAAGAGGCTTGCAAAGAGGACAGGACTTCAAGTGAACATGAACTGATCATGGCGATGAAGATATCCTACAGAGCTATATTTTCAAGTGATATTATACATTAGTTTTTTAATACTTTCAACCTATCTCGGTGGCAGAGAGTTTTACTATACTATTTAACAAAGCAGAGTCAATAGTTCTAGATCAAGCTAAATTTCTTTGTTCAGACGACCGAACTGATCTAGATCGACATGGTGTTTAGTAGTCCATAGAAATTCATTTCCGAATCAGATCTACTGGGTATAGAATTGGAAGAATTTTCCTTCAGTGCCAGATTCATGGTTGTTTTGAATGCCTTCCAACCAATTCCAGTCTTCTATTCTATCAAGTATTTTATTAAGAGCCCTTCATGTACCATCGTTATAATATTAGTCCAATTATTATTTACATTACTACTATTGCTTTTACCATAAGACGTCCACATTCCTGTCTGTTGTATTGTAAGCAGCATTCGACTGACAATTTCGCATATCTCTTACACAATGAAAATTCGCATTAAAATAACCTGAATCGGTTGTATCTGTTGAATGATCCAGTCAATCACAATGATGAATATCGTCGGTGGTAGTAGGCAACCCTGTCCTACTCCCATATATCTCCCAATGATTACTTGAATCACTTCACATGAGACATCATCATGTATCTAGTAAATAAGGCCTATAAAGGTTTGCGTCACTGCATTCCATATTGTTGCTGCAGTTTCAATCCAGATCGCCGTCAACGCTGTCGAAGTCCTTATCAAAGTCGATGAAGCTTGAGTAGACAGGCTGTCATTCTATGATCTGTTCAATGATGATGATGATGCATATCGTTGCAATTCGATGCACTGGTGATTTGTCTTCTCTGAATCCGGCGTTCTCCAGGCATGATTTCGTATCCACAGCATCTCTCAGTCTCTCCAGGTTGACACAGATTAGTATTTTGCCTGGCGAATACTGCAGCATGATTCCATATCACTACTTGCAAAGCCTTAAGTCACCATGCTTCCGTAAATTGACAAGATAGCTCTTCTTATGATAAGTAGGCACGTTTCCTCCCTTGCAAACTGCCTGTGATGGCGTTGTGAGGATGGATATCCACTGTGGTCCTAAGGTGTATTTCGCGCACTTCTGGGGGAATTCCATCTGGCTTTCAGTCAGTTAAATGCAATCGGGATATCTGTCTTTATCTGAGGATTGGTGTTCACTGATGTTTCTATGATGGGTTGTGGTATCTCACTGGTAACTCACTGAAGTTGTGCTCAACACTAATCGAATGATGACGATAATTCATTTCCGACTGTGCTCACTCAAGGTGTTTTGATTATGAATGGACACAGTCCAAATCAGTGATTACTTTTCACTACTTATTACTTCTTAGTAGTTTGAGCTCTTATTTTATTTACCATTTTGTTACTTCATAATCGTAATTAGTGATCTCTATTGATACTGATCTCACTTAACGTGGAAACATTCCGTTTGGCCTGGCATAATTATCTTTCTCGTGGTCGTCTATTGAACGTACTTTCTTCTTCTTCTTCATATTTCACTTTCTTTTAAACTTTGTTTATTCGAATCTCTTTTGATTCCTTTTGATCGATGCACTCACGTGTTGTTTGTGGTGCACTATAACAACTGACAAGATCCACAGGTATGATGTACAATACAATCTCACACTTAGGAGGATACAGTTATCCTGTAATTATTCAATACAAGTAGACAACACTAGACTGTTGAATAAGTATTGCAAATAATAATTATAATAATAATATTAATAATAATTATAAGCACGCACATTTGTGTATACAAAACAGGAAATACTTTATCATCTACCCGTTAAACTTTTATAATATATACATGAATTTTATCTGCTTACCTTCTAATGCTGATCGAGCTAAAGAAATCAGAATCGAAACAGACACAGTGTTAATTTCACCACAAACGTATTCTTAATGTGAACTTGTAAAATGTGATCACAGTAAAGGCATGTTGGTCGGTGCTTCGATGGTAGAATTGCCACGAGCCATACACAATAGCTATCCTGCATTACTAACAGGCAATAATAATTACAACTGAAAAATGCTAGGTTGCGTGCCACACGGATAGCCACATCACCAGCAATGACACCTTGAAAGGGCTCAAAACATGAAGTCGCAGCGTCGCCATCTGAGTGCAAATGGAATGAAACCAAATACAGTGTAAACAGAGACTTGGTTATTCAAATTGTGTGCTGTAAGCGAGATCCACTTCTTCAACTCAGATTGTCTTATTCACTATCTAGTAGGTATACAGATCACATTTAAATTTCAATTGATTGGGCGGAGGAGGTTTTAATGTGAGAAGTACAAAACACGTGGTTGAGTAAAGAGGCTATTCTCGGCGAATTCGTGTTCTTCAACTATACAATCGCATTCACATCCAGTTTTCCGAACACGAGGGTAGTAACTGGAACGATGAATTGTCACAGTCACAATTGGTAATATTATCAATCAATGCACGAGAGAGGATGATTTCGTCTTAGAGTTAAGTAAAGTAATAAGAGAAAGATAACTCAATGTGAATGAGTTGTAATCAGCATGAACACAGAAGTGAAGGAAGGTGTAATATAGATTAAGAATAGCAAAGCAGCAGACGAGTTATACAGCGAAAAGCAATGAACTGGTCTGTAGTGAAGATTAATCAATATGTAATTACGGTCGTGAAGATTAGTGACTTATCATTAGTGATTCTTTATTACATCGAATGGTCTAGGAACTTGTGTGATTTCAAGTGATGGATTAGAGTCATTCGATTGGTTTCAAGTTTGATCAGTCTGACAAACACTGAAAGCTTCAGTGGAATACTGGTATCGGACATGTGCATGGGCCAAGCAGACAATCAAGATATTTGATCAGCTGACATTCGGATAAGGTTATCTCCGCACATTTGAATAAGTTGAGAACAAACCGCTTTCTGTTAGTCCTATTCCACTTGGATTATAATGCACGTGAACAGCACAACAACATACTGGATATTATCAGCCCGACTGAGTATTGTGCAGCTGTTCCACCCTGGTTTTCCACTCTTTAGCATTACGTGCACACGACTTCAGTCTAGTGGTGATCGGAACCAGTATCTTCAGGTGGTGAATTGAGCTTGCTGATTATTCAGTCACCTTAGGTTACTACGCTTCTCTGATAGATGTCAACTCTTCCTCAAACTTAAAATTAGATATTAGCAGAACAAGCATGACGTAGTACGTTTGCATAATGACCAGAATTATGAATAGTATAATTTCGAATTGTGCTCAATCGTTTGACACTCTGTAGTCGCAGTTGTGTGGTTTATGATAAGTCAAATGTTTGAATGAGCATTATCAATGCAGTTTTCTGGGAGTAATTATCCAGTGAATCTATTTTTGGTACATGTATAATCGATTATATCATCATATGATAAATGTGTTTTCTGAAACTATTTATCGCCCTGTGTTCACGTGTACAAGGTGAATGTCGTGTCAATTGATTTATCTCCATTCAACTGACAGACCCAACTGCTAGGAGAATCTGAAGAGAATCGCGGTTTATAATCTTACCAGTGTAAGTGTTAAACTCATTATTCATGTCTGTTGTTGCTTTACTGATTTCTTACCACAGTAAACACATCAGCACACCCGGACTCCTGATATTACCGCAGTTTCCGAATAGTTTGAAGTAAGACTAGGCAGGAATGAAGCTTACGTCTAGAACACGAGCAGATTAAGTTTAGGTTAAACTAATTAGATAGATATTACAGACAATTAGTGTTAGAAATAAATAAAGGATTGAGAGAAGCAAAAGTGCGATTAGGACACCAAATTCACTCCTAACCACCTCTGCTTGTTTCAAGACCACGGCGTACCAAAGCCACTTGTGTGTCCGAAGTTCACTTCTCTTGAGATATTTTTCCGTAACATGTAAAAGAAAGATGGGCTCTATTGTTCAGTTATATCTCATAAGTAGACATATTTTCTTATGTGAAAGGCATTATTTTCAAGTCATCGATGGATTTGT